GACGCCGAAAACCAAAAGGGCGCCGAAAACCAAGAGGGGCGCCGACAACCAAAAGGGCACCGAAAACCGAGAGCGCACCGAAAACCGAAAAAAAACGCCGGAAGCCAAAGGAGCGCCGAAAGCCAAGGGGGGCGCCGAAAACCAAAGAAGCGCCGAAAACCATGCAGAAGCCTCCGAGGCCCCACACTCTTGAAAGAGGAGGCCAGGGTAACCCTCGGCTCAACAGCAGGAAGGGGGAGTAGCTTTAGGTCGGGTACGTCCCCCTACAAGCGGATTTTCGACGAAGAATAAACCATGCTCAAAAAATGCTCAAAATAGCCAACAATGATCCAAACATCGTTCCCAGACTATTTTTCTACTATTTTTGAATGTTCCTCCTGTAGAGGGACACGCCCGACTTTAGAGTAGCTTCGAAGCCCCCCCCCCTTCAGCCAGGGCCCTCCCAGCTGAAAAGTGCCAACAGAGGGAGGGGAGGGGGGGCTTCGAGAGCCTCCCCCCCTTTGGAGAGGGAAGCCTGGGGCTCATCCCGGGCCCCGAAGAAGAGGGAGGAGGGGGGGGCGTAGCTTCCCGAGCCCCTCCCCCTTCCGCCAGGAACCACCCAGCTACAAAATTCCAACCAAAAAGAGGGGGGTGTGGCTTCGGAAGCCCCCCCCCCTCTGGACAGGCCAGCGAAAACATGCCAACAAAAGCGGGGGGAGGGGGGGGTAGCTTCGGAAGCCCCTCCCCTAGCTTGAAGCCGAGGCCCCCCTATTCTTATTCTGGGCCGTGGGTGCGCGCTCCTTCGGCCCTCGCCTAGCACTGCCTCAGAGCGCTCAGGGTCGAGAGCAGAAGGTCCCGCCCTTCTATGATAACGACTGGGGGGATAACTCTCGAGGCCACGGGCTAACGAGCCCGACAACCCTCACCCCTCATTCCTCCCTCCTTGAAGGGGCCCTGGGACACACAAATAAATAGACACAATTCCCCATGTGTTCCCATATTTTCTGGTTTTTTGTCATCCCCCCCACTTCCCGTCTTTTCCCATTTTTTTATCGAATCGACGATTCACTGTGTCTGTGTGCTTTTGTCCCTCCTGACCCCTCCCCTTCCGTCGCTGCGCGGCGGACCGTAGCGGAGGCCCTCGGGAGCCCTTCCCCCCATCTCTGGCCGTCAGGGGATGGCTAAGGGCCGGGCCAGGCCAGAGCAGCCCTGGGTGGCCTGCCGCCTGGCAGCCATGCTCGAGAGGCCGGGCCCGCGGACCCACAGCAGGGTCCGAAGAGATCTGACCAATCAGCCAACCAACCACTCGACCTCCTCCTTCCCCCCATCCCTCCCCATTTCCCCAGGCTTAGAGCACAGTGGTGCTGCCCAGTCTGACGCAAACATGAGAAATCGAAGGCTTCCCTCTAGAGATATCGCTTCGGCCGGCCAAACGAGATGGGTATATCAGTGTACTCCTTGCGCTTCCCTCCTCCATCGTCTCTCAATCTCCAACGTGGGACGTCGAAACCGCCTAGACAACACGCTCAAGATTCAAGATCGAAGTGGGAGGATTGAGGGAGGACGAGGGGGAGGAGGAGTGGCGCACCAAAACCAGGAGGAGCAGGAGGGGTTAGCAGCAGGAAGAGCAGCAGCCGCAGCAGGGTGACAGCCATCCCGACTACGTCAACGCTGGCCAGGCCAAGCCTCGGCCATGGATCTGGGGAGACCAAAAGGTACCGATGCCGCACTCGCCGGACCTCGCCAGAATTTCGAGGCGAATCCAGCGGTGGCGACGAGGGGTTCCTGGGAGGCCCAAAAAGGGGAAAGCGGGCGAAGGGCAAACTGTGCCTCCTCCAAGGATCGGCGTGTGCGAACTACGCCAATCCTCGACCCATTTCCGTTTGGCCAGAATCGGTGCCGCTGAATAGTTGGCGGCCCCCTTCAGCTTTACTCGCCTTACCCTCGCGGAAAATTCGACGGGCTGAGCTCGACTCGAAGCAGCACGCTGGCATTCCCAGGGTCAGCGATACCGCCAACTCGTGTCATAAGGACGCAGGAAAAGGATGCAAGGGCCTTGGAAGGCCATCTCGAAGCTTTTCAAGCGGGGCGCGGCCAACGAAAGTGACCGAGGATGGACCGAGGAGGGAAGGATGCAGGGGTACCCCTGGGAAGGTTGCCCATCCTTACCATGCGGGTCGACGGTATCACCGACTCCTCTGATCGGCGCCCCCGTGCTTCCTCAAACTTCGACGCAAGACTCGGCACGCCCGACACATTCCAGCCGTCAAGGGCCGCGCGCCCTCGAAATCCTTCTCCTCCTCCTCCTCCAATTCGCTACGAGTTTCGAGCAACCTCCCGCGCTCACCAGGAACTGTCCCGCGCATGAGCCCCAGCTTTTCCCCAAGGCTTGTCACGGGCTCATGCATCAGAGCACGGGTCCCCGGACGCAGCTCCTTAGAAGGGGTCCAAAACCTAGAGGTTAATGTACAACCCACGAGCTGGCAGCATAAGATGCCTCCGATCATCACAGAGTAGCGTCAGATGCTGGCTGAGCCCCCTCTTACGCCGCGATCCACAAAAAAGTTGGGCAGCGCGCCAGAGCCAGAGCAGGGAGGAGCGGATGTCCCAGCTCCCACCCCAGTCGCTGCCTCCCG